TATATATTGAATGAAATAAAAAATGTTTTGTACTTTCAAATAATTTGTTACATTTTTCACTCTTTAAACTTTAAAACAAACCAACCAAGGCCACTTTGGTTTATTATTACCAGCTTGTTCGAAACATTTCCAATAAAAACAATTTTTATTGTTTCAAATCCCCAAAGAACTGAAACAAAACAAACAAAACTCTTTTCTCTCTATCAGCAACACTTTACCCCAAACTCTGACTTTAAAACAAAAAAAAGTGAAATAATGCGTCTCAATGGTGCGATCATCTCATGTGCTGATGTAAAAAAAGTTCTGTTGTGTTATTTTTGTCTATCAAAGTAATAACTTTATTTTTCTACAGATTTTTACGTGTTTWTAGCAGAAATCAAGACTTGTTTTCGATCTTCTCACCTCATCATCTATGAGCTGGATGGAGTTAAAAATGCTTCAGAAGCTCAGTTTCACCAACATCACAGCAGAGAAAACCTCCAATCACAGTACTGGATTAGATTTTAACAATGATACATTTAAATTTCAGAGTTATCAAACTAGTTTCTTTAAGCCACATTCTGACTCCTGATCCTCCTGATACGAGCCGGTCCACAGACGTGACGTCATGATTTAGAATCAGGTTTATCCTGTAAACTGGGTCTGAATCGTGTTTTTATTGTTSTAATGAGCAAATCAAAACTCAAACTGCCTGTGAGTTAATCCTGGGTTCAATGTGACGGGTCAGAGTGTTTTATCAAAGGAAAAGTTTGTTTTAAATATTTGAAGTACTGAAGAGTATTTACATCAGTTTTTTTCTGTGTGTAAACAGGACCATGTGTACAGTTGGTGTTCTTAAAGTGCTATTATTAAGCTCCTGTGAGCCRGTACATCTCATTCCACTCAACATAAAGCTCACATTAATGATGCTGAAACTGAGATTGTCTGGATCGGACCGGAGAGACAGTAACATGCACAAATATATTTATATATTTTTATTTATAAACATTGAAGTCGGGTTTCCAGGAACACTACGGCTCATCTACCACCTCTGGTTCATCCATCGACTGACRCTGAGTTTAAGTTAAATGTTCTTTAATCTTTGTTTTTGGATGGAAATGAGCTCCATCCAGTCTCCATGAACTGCAGCAGCTGAAACAACACACACTGCCTCTGACATGGTATTGTGTCTGTACAGTACGATGTGGTACATGTTGTGTACTTTATTGTTTATGATTGTTGACTGAGCTTTAAAGGGACCCTAAACAGTTTTACTTTCTTATTGCTCTTATTTAGGTAGATGAACATGGTTTTTTTTATGTTACAGGTTTGTTACATGGTACGTACTGGGTTAGACACGGTACGTACTGGGTTAGACACAGGGTACATACTGGGTTAGACACAGGGTACGTACTGGGTTAGACACGGTACGTACTGGGTTAGACACAGGGTACGTACTGGGTTAAACTCAGGGTACGTACTGGGTTAGACACGGTACGTACTGGGTTAGACACAGGGTACGTACTGGGTTAGACACGGTACGTACTGGGTTAGACATGGTACGTACTGGGTTAGACACAGGGTACGTACCAAGTTAATTTCACGATATATAATGCATAATATTGTAGAACATCTTAAATGTTTTATTTGACTAATTAGCTCAATAAGAAATGAGACAAAGTTTTAAAAACAGATCTCTCATTATTTATTCCCATTAATCTCATTTAAATGTGTTTTTATGTCTACATGAACTTTTAATCCAAATTTAGCCTGATTTAATTTAAATATTTTTAAACATTTTTAATAAGTTACACTAACCTGCAGGTTTGTGATGTTGTGGTTCATTAGGGTCCCTTTAAACTGTGGGCATTACAGATCAGTCATAGTACACACAATGCTGTGTACATACAGTTTTACTAATATACTTATGATAATGTACTACAAACTAACTTGAATGTTGTTATGGTCCAGAACATTAGCCACTGAGTAGTGCTGTAACCTCCTTATCTACTCTCTTCATATATGTTGTTACCTGTAACCTCTGCAATAAAAACAGCCAACATTAAGCTGTGGAACTCTTATATCTGTTGTGTTACAATTCACCACAGACACACACATTAAATACATGTTCTCTGTGTGGAGTTTATACTTTTAAGTGCTGGAAAATGTTACATTTATCAAAATAACCGTCAGCTTTTAGCTGAAACTGTTGTTCCTAGAAGCTGCTGCTGATAAAGCGAGGAGGAGGAGGAGGAGGAGGAGGAGGGGGAGGAGGAGGGACGGCAGCAGGAAGGAAGGAAAGAGGTGTGGACGACTAAATGTAGCTCAAACCAACTGAAACAAAAAGACTTTGACCGTTGACCTGTTGGCAGAAAAAACAACCTTTAATGATCCAATTTACTGTTTCGCTGTTACTTTCTTCTATTTTTAAATGAAAATCATCATAAACTGTCCTGCTGCCACTGGGTGGAAGGCCTGGTGGGTCAGTTTGACCTGAGGGCAGCAGGAGGGTTAAAGGTAGGTGTGTCTGCTGCAGGTAGGTGTCTCTGCTGCAGGTAGGTGTGTCTTCTGCAGGTAGGTGTGTCTGCTGCAGGTAGGTGTGTCTGCTGCAGGTAGGTGTGTCTGCTGCAGGTAGGTGTGTCTGCTGCAGGTAGGTGTGTCTGCTGCAGGTAGGTGTG